TGAGGATCCTCAGTAACTTCTACAGCTGCTGACATTCGTGTGTCCAAACTCATGTGGGAAAAATTTATTCCATCCATTTCACCCTGTGGCCATCATGCTGTTATGTGACCAGTGTGCACAGCTCAGTGGCTAAGCTGCAGAGCAGTGGTGTTCCTCACAAGCTGAAAATTCAATGAAGAGCAGAAGACGTGGCAACAGGCATATTATGGGCTCCAGTAGCTGTGTTTGTGGTAAGCTACAGACCATTTCTGAGAGTATGTTTGTTGTGGCTAGTCAGTGTGGTTGGAGGTTGTGTACATGTAGTACTTGGATTATGTTAAATTTGTCTGTCAGCGCAAGTCTGTGCATGTGCATCTAAGTGCACCTCAGGGCAAGTCAGTGTCGAGGCATATGGAAACTCACTCAGTCACACAGCAACCTGCAGAAGAACAGACACCAGTTAGACTGCAAGCTACAGTATAAAATAATACATGAGGTAGCAATTCCTTGGCTTTAACATTACCAGTCATAATTTGCATACTCAACATGATAGATGACAGATAACATGAACAGAGTAATTTTTTTCGTGTGTGTGTGACACCAAGGGTTTGTGTTATTCCTCTTGTTAAGCCAATGGCCTGCTAAATCCCAACTGCTAAACATTCAGTCTGTTTAATACCATATAATATCACAACATGCATACAACAGCACGTACTGTACATGCACCTGCACTGTATTATTTCCATCACTAGGTGGTGCTGTGCACTGGTAAATTGCAGTATGAGAAATCTCAGAGTTTTCAGGGCAAGTTACAAAATAACAACGATTCACTGTTAACAGTTTTTGGTTTGACTGTAGGGGTGGAGCTATGTGGGTGTATTTAAATTCATAATAATTAATCAGTTCATTTGTTTTAATCACAATATGGTTTTAAGGACTTTTGATGACCACAGTGGGCTTTTTTTTTATCATAAGCCAAAGCAAAAGAGCACTTGAAGGCATCAGATGAAAGCCCTCAAAACAAGTGTACTTTAATATATTACAGAATAATAATGAAAAAAATAATGACAAATGAATAAAATATGAAAAATATTAATAAAACCATGAAAGCATGAAGCAAGTATAAGCACATTATAATTACACTGTGGGTACACTGTAACATTCAACAGCGCAAATACATTTCACTAATATGCGGCTCTTACGATTTGTTTTTCTTGAAACTACAGTATACTGTATGTGTTTGATTAGTGCAATTTTGTTCCAGGATTTATCTTGAAACAAGAACAAGGCTGCACTACAATTTAAAGGGTGAAACATTGCACTAGAAAAGTATTGTTCATCTGGGTTGATGTGTTGATTAAGGCATTTTAGTTAAAAGAATCAAAATCACAATGTAAAAATAGTCTTACAAACTAAATTTTACTGAAGCAAATGCACACGCTCATCACTTAAATGCACTTTGGTCTCAAAAGAAGTAGAATGCTCATTATGCATAGAGGCCTCTTTATAATTGAGGGATTAATGTGCAATTATATATTTTAATGTTTTGAACAAGATGCAGTGGAGCTGGACGGAGCTACTGCCACAGGGCATCATATGATAGGTTTTAGTGCAATGTAATCTGCATTGTGGGATAAATGTATGCAACAGAAGTAATAGAAATACTGAAGTAACATAGAAATACCTCAAAACTGTTCTCAACTGCAGTACTTAGGAAAGTACACTTAATTACATTCCTCTGATCATAAAGCACTTGTTACATTCCGACACAACAGTGCTGAGGATATAGTGCTGTCTCTCTCTGTGGCTGCCCTGTATTTTCTACTTTATCTCTGTTTTTAAGGCACAAACGATCTGCACACGTTTGGACTTTTGTTTTTTCTAATCAGTAAAGCCCAAACTTCACACCTTGACAAAAACGACTGCTTTTCTCTTTGTCCTCCGAGCAGACAGGGGCTTCGGGCTTGACGTAGGGATCAGGTGACTTCAACTTCTCTGACGGGACTCTTATAAGGGAAGTTTGACAAGTTCGCCTCAGTTCCCCTCCTGGTCCCAAACTTGGATTTCGACTTCACGAAACAGTGATTTGTTCAAGTGGCGAGAAAAGAAGTCCCACTGGGCCCTTCTCCTTCTCTGTGTAACGTCCTGGTAAGTTAAACCCACTTGTTTTTATTTTTCATAAAACGCGTCCGAAGAAACTTCAGTAGCCTTCTCCCCTTAGAAATAAGCTGGAAAGCTTCGGAGCGCTCCAACATCCAAGAAGTGGAGAAAGTTTGAGATTTTCTTCACCGTTTGTGGAAACGCACCGTTTTTCGGGTTGATCCATTTTTGTTTGTTTTTTACTCCAACTAAACCTTCTTAAATGTTCAGAAAAGCCAGTAGAGACATCTAGAAGGAGGAATATATGATCAACGACAAAAAAACTACTTCTCATTTATCGCCTTAATTTTTGCTTCATTTAATAAGTGAGAAATGAAATCTGGAAACGCCTTTACATTTATTCCCATTTCACTCAAAACTTCCCGTTGCCGTTATTTGCCCGCGGTGCTCTTAAGGAAAGTTCTGTTGTATATTTAAGGATGCTGCTTCTCCTCCATTAATATCCAAACCTTAAGGTATTTTACTCTTCAGTTATTTTTAGAATATCCACCAGACTTTCAGTAATGCACAGTGTAGCATTGTGTTTTATATATTGTTTATATATTTTATTTACACTGTATATTGTGCCTACATATTATTAGGCTTTGTTTTTCTGTTGTTCTACAGTTTAGAGACCCTTACATTGACACTGCTTCTACTGTAGACAGACATCATTTTTCACCAAGGGGGTGCAAGTTTTCAGGAAATGAGCCCAGATGAGCACAGTGCTGCAAAGGAAACTACTTACTAGTCAGCCTTTTGGATCCTGTAACTTAACCCAATTTTAACTGAAATGAAATGAAAGCGAACATCCTGGCAAGCCAGAGTATGAACTGTGTCACAGTGGTCAAGAGTAAAGTGTCAACAGGAACTTATTAATGAGCTGATTTCCCCAGAGCAGATATTTCTGAGCATGGCAGAAACCATATATGCAAGTTTCATACCGATTTTCCCAGAGGAAATGTTGAGTGGATCTGCAGGGCTTCACCATAAGCACTGAGGAAAGAAGTTCACTTTAGGCCTTACTGAGCACACTGAGCTGCAGTGTCTGTTCCACCACACACACACACACACACTTATCTAATTGGGTACACAGTCACGCAGCAGAGTGGCTTTTTTTCCTGCAACCTTTCTGATCAGCCTGGCTAAGAAAACAGCATGCAGTCGATTTTCTGGTGTTCTCAGAAGCCATTTCTGCCCAGCAGCTCAGTTTGCCAGTGATTCAACTTTGCATCTGCTTTTAGCTGAGTTTAACATTTTGGGAGAAGCAGTTACTGTTTGTTTCTGTGTCACAAGAACAGGAGTAGATGGTCAGAGTAACAGATCAGTTAACGTATAAACTTTGACATGCTGATTTTTAAAAATAGAAAAAGATGTTATGTGTCGCACAAGGAACTTAAACATTGACACAAACAAAATTTGATTATAAATGTTTCCTACATATCCCTAATTTGCCCATCATTCTTTATTGAAGGGGTGAACAAAGCAATACCATGAGATCATAATGCGATCATCTTACTGTCAGGAATTTAAGAGGATTCAGGGTTTCTTCATTTTGTTCTGTCAATTCACTCTAAAGCACTTTTTTATGAACATGCAAAGTTTGTTAAAAATTGTCAATGTGTGTCAAATTTCTTTTCACATGTTCACATCCTTGCCTAGATTTAAAGGGCAACGTTGCATAAACTGAAAAATGTGCTTTCTGTTACTGCTCTCAGTAATTGGATTAGCTTATGTTTTTGCGTCATCAAACATCTAGTTTTGTCTCCTCCAGCACTGATGCTGTTTAATCACATAATCCTGCCAAAAATACCAAATGTCAGATGTTGAGGATGTTAATCTTCCCTAGAAAACCAAACCTTTTGCTTTTGTAAATGTTGTACTGTATCTGTGTAAACCTGAAATTTTGAAATATGGCTTGATAGTCGATACTGTCTGTATATTATTGCCAGTTAAATGATGCCCTTTTTTTCAATAGCTAACATTCACTGAGAATGGGTGACTGGAGTGCTCTGGGTCGTCTGCTGGACAAGGTCCAGGCGTACTCTACTGCTGGGGGCAAAGTCTGGCTGTCGGTCCTCTTCATCTTCAGGATCCTGGTCTTGGGTACTGCAGTGGAATCAGCCTGGGGAGATGAGCAGTCTGCCTTCAAATGTAACACCCAGCAGCCTGGTTGTGAAAATGTCTGCTACGACAAATCCTTCCCCATCTCCCATGTTCGCTTCTGGGTCCTACAGATCATCTTTGTGTCAACGCCCACACTGCTCTACCTGGCCCATGTGTTCTATCTGAACAGGAAGGAACAAAAACTAAACAGAAAAAAGGAGGAGCTTAAATGTGTGCAAAATGATGGGGGTGATGTTGACATCCCATTGAGGAAAATTGAGATGAAAAAGATGAAGTATGGCATTGAGGAGCATGGCAAAGTGAAGATGAAGGGAGCTCTGCTCAGAACCTATATAGTTAGCATTTTTTTCAAATCTCTGTTTGAGGTGGGCTTCCTGGTTATTCAGTGGTACATATATGGCTTCAGCCTCGCTGCAGTTTACACCTGTGAGAGGGACCCATGCCCACACAGGGTGGACTGTTTCCTGTCCCGTCCAACAGAGAAGACTGTCTTCATCATCTTTATGCTAGTGGTCTCACTGGTGTCCCTCTTGCTCAATATCATAGAGCTTTTCTATGTGCTCTTTAAGAGGATCAAAGATCGCGTGAAGGGCAAACAGCAGCCCACACTCTACCCCAGTGCAGGTACGTTAAGCCCCACCCCTAAAGAATTGTCCACCACCAAGTATGCCTACTATAATGGCTGTTCCTCCCCGACTGCCCCACTCTCACCCATGTCCCCCCCAGGCTACAAGCTTGCTGCAGGGGAGCGGGGAACCGGGTCATGCCGTAATTATAATAAGCAAGCCAATGAGCAGAACTGGGCCAACTACTCTACAGAGCAGAGCCGCCTTGGCCCGAACAGTGGAGGAAGCCTGATTTTAAACTCCCATGCACAAGCCTTTGACTTCCCTGATGATACCCAAGAGCATAAGAAACTGTCTTCAACAGCAGGACACGAATTGCAGCCACTTGCTTTGATGGATGCCAGGCCTTGCAGCAGGGCCAGCAGCCGGATGAGCAGCCGAGCCAGGCCAGATGACCTGGACGTGTAAGCCCTGGTTCCTCCTCTTCCCACCTCTCTCTAACAGGATGTGTGGCTACAGGTAGAGAATCAGGAAACACTCCAGCACATATGTTCATGTAAGAGGTGGGACTAACCTCAATCACTCTTCAGTGTAGAGACTTTAAATCTTGTTATGTAACACTGTCAAAAGGTACAAGTTGACAATGTTTTTTCAGTGACTTTGACCCTAACTTTGTAGCGGAGCTAACCCAGGTTTAAGAAAATAGAATAACCACAGGAACAGTGTCTGATAGAGGGCTCCTTTCAATCAGTCATTGATCAGTTCAAGAATGAAGGACCACACTGGTGGCCACACTAAGTGAGTAATATGATTTAAATTTGTCAGTTACATTGACAAATTTGGTATTCTTCTGATTGATGACAGCATTTTTCTAGCACTGTCATAGCTGAGATCTGATGTTATGGTGTTAACTTTACAAAATGGTGCCTTATTAGTTGTCTTTTTAACATCAGGCCACAATAGCAAATTAGCTAACTCTGGCTTAGTTACAGTTCTGTTTCCTGTTGATCAGCAAGCTTAATCCCTGTCAGAAAAACTAATAAATAAACACAGAGTTCAGTATGGTAAGAAACAAATTCTAATAGCCCCATGTTTGAAATCCCTGATTTGGCCAAATGAACTAATTTGGAACTGAAAGACTGAGTAGAAAGCGAACACATCCAAAATGTCAACTGATCACAGGCAGTAATTATAACTGCAGCCATGGACGATTTGGTATAATAAATACAAGCTGTTCCAAAATAGTCTTCATAGAACGTTTTCTGCTCTGCCAGCCCTGTTATTAAGATAACCAAAATGTATTTATTTAAGAACTAAATACTAAAATACCCCTGCTCCTGAGAGAGACTTATAACAAGTACAGTCACAACAGGCTTCTTGTTGAAAAAATGCAAATATTGTTGAACATTTAATCATACTAGTTATTTGAACAAAGGACCGATCCTGTTGTTTTCCAGGCAAGTACAGTCCCTTGTGTTAATAGAAACCAGTGTGATCAACTGTATGGAGACCTGATGCACTGTTACAAAGCTGTGTGAAGCTCAGCAGTATAAACGTGAACATCCAGAGTCCAGGGTGTTTTTCAGTCATGTTTGTATTGAGAGATAGTTATATAGACTCAGCCACGCTTGCATTGAGTTGCTCTTGCAGTTTTATCGTGTAATAAAGCTGAATTTACAGTATGTGTGAATCAACATTACCAATACATTTCCTTCTGTTTTGATTTGCATCGTAACTATCACAGTTCTTAATGAAAATCCCATTTCAGTCTCTCAGTCACAACAAAGTCAGGAAGTACTGTCAAGTGCCATCAAGCAGAGCAACTCTATGTAAAGTGTTAACCACTTGGCTCATCCTTTGCAGGCAACTTACAGTAAGGGTTTTGAGGTGAAGGCTTATTGTTAGTTGTAGTGAATATTTATTGCTTGGCATCTATATTAACACCTACCACTAAAAAATGAAAAACTGACTACTATCCACAATCTCTTTCTACCCAGAAATCTTCTCCCCCAAAACTGTATACAGTATTTATTGACAGTAAACTCAATTCATACAGTGTATTTTTCTTTAGTAACATTGTCAGTCATCATGGACTGTTGTTTCCTGATAAACTTTGAATTTATGTAGTGTTATGTTCTCATGTTGTAGTTTTGTCTCATTGCAATGTGTGTAGAAGTGGCAAGTTTTAGGGTTCAGGCTGCTGTGACACAGAAAACTCCAATCTGCTTTTTATGTGGGTTCAGAAAGGCTTTATTACTGTCATTGATTCAACAAGTGTTTTCAGTTTTTACATCTTTTGTGAATGGTAGAGAAAGAAGGATATCTTTGTTTTACATTGTTGAGGGAATGATTTTTTAAAGTCTATAGGTTTTGTTTTTTGTAACTGTTGCTGCTTGAGAAATAGTTATTTAGTACTGTAAGATAGAGCTAACTGTGTCACAAAAATGTGAGTTTTTAGAAGACTGCTTATAGATCTGGACTAATATTTAGTCAGTTATATTAAATGTAAGCCAATGTAGCTTCATACCTACCAAACATTAGGATAAATCTCAACTGTAATTCTGCATCATTTTGTCGGTACTTGGCGTTTGCACTGAGATCTTGGTGATGGGGATGTAATATGATGCACATATTAAGGGGATAAGAGTTTTCTTATACACATGTTACTAATTTATTTTATAACACAAGAATAACTACAGTGCATAATATCAGACATCTGACCACCGATCTAACTGTGAGAGATGTCTTCCATTGACAGCACAGGAACAATAGTCATTTGTTGTGTATCAGACAATGCTAATCCATGAAGGTCCACTGCTGTACAGTGTAAGTGCATGTTAGCAAAACAAAAACTCATTAACTGTATGAGTGAAAAGTCATTTTAACCAATAAATATTTTTCTTTCTTGATCTCTGGTTGCTGGGTTTCATTGCAGGTCATAATCTTTGTCATGACTATGGTTGAGTGAACCACCAGTAAAAAAACACGATGTTATTTCACCTCATTTTGATTTTGGTGTGCAACCCCAAATCAGAAAAAGTTGGGACAGTATGTGAAATCTAAATTAAAACTGAAAATAGAAATGTGTAAATCAGCTGTGTCCTGTATTATATTGAAAACAATACAGCAGCACATTATTTGATGTGATAACTCATGAGTTTTTTTACTTGTTCAAAATGAACACTCACTTCAATTCTGATGCTGCAACACATTCCAAAAAAGTTGGGACAGTAAAGCATTTACCACGTTGTGATATTGCCGTTCCTTTTAACAACACTTAAAAGTCGTTTAGGGACTGAGGACACTAAGTGATGTGTCAGGTGTCATTTTGTCCCATTCACCCTGTAAACAAATCTTAAAGTGCCCAATAGTCTTGGGTCTTTGTTGACACAATTTTCATTTCAAAATATGCCACACATTCTCTATTGGGGACAGGTCGGGAGTGCAGGCAGGCCAGTCCAGCACTCATACCTTTTTCCTCCACAGCCAGGTCTTGGTAACGTATGCGGTATGAGGTTTTACATTGTCTTGTTGAAATATGCATGGACGTCCCTGGAAAAGGGTCTGGCTGTACTGTCATGTACCTACAGTAAATTAGCAGCTATTCTGATGATCGTTTAGAGCAATGTGATGGCATTTCTCACTATTCTTTTACAAACCAGTCAATTGTTCAATGGCAAAAATAATGAGTAGTTTAATCTCTAATGAAAATCACCAATATTGTACTTGGATACAACCTAGTTGAGCAGAGCTCCACCTCAACTACATCACTGATGCTTTTACATTAATGCATGAGTGATAAGCTATTAATGTAACTATATAATATATAATAGCATAACATTATAGGATAGATAGTGTAACATTTTTCAGTATTGATTAGTCTACTTCTACATTTAATACTTTAATTAAAAATACTTAATTTTACATACCAATTGCAATGGGTACCTTTACTTGTAACAGAGTAGGCTGTAGTACTTTTACTTAAGTAAAGGATGTGAATACTTCCTCTCCTACTGGTGCTAACTAGTAAACTGACATGCTTTAGTTATATATAACCTGTTATGGTTATATTCTTTTTCTAATCATGTTTATAATTTAATTTCTTCTTTCAGATCAATCTAGCTGCAGTCCAGTTCAATCCACTGGCACAGTCACCTGCAATTAAAAATAGACCCTTTTGTTTTCATTCCTTTGAGGCTTGTTGTAGCTGATAATAGTAATTGTGTAATACCATATACACCCTAAGACCACGTGGAGATGGTCCTGTGAAGAGGAAATGAAGAAGTGCAACCTGTCGTGGGGTGAAATGAAAAAGGCTGCCCAAAATAGATTGCGTTGGAGAGCTGTTGTTGAGGCCCTTTGTTCCACGGGGAATCCAAGGAGATAAGAAATACCATATACAGTAATATTGTGAAACTGATGTTTTCTGACACGGTAATCATACTGTGAAAATTTCATACTGTTGTAACCCTACATCTCATTTTCAATGTGTAAACAGGTCACTGCCATACAGTATCTCTTTAGAGACAGTTTTTGTTGATTGAACTAAAACTGCTGCAGAAATGGAAAGAACAATGGTGTCATCTTTTTGACATCACACAAATTTTCAAACCATTTTAGAAACTAGCATTCTTCTGGTCCAGCTTCAGATAAACTATGATCAGCTGACGGTCAGCTGATCTAAACAATCTACAGTTGTGTTTGACATTTCCACAGGCCAGGGTATTTACTGGCGTTAGCAGTGTGTTCACCGACTGCCACATGTTGCTGTTGCTAGTCTCTTCTTGCTTTGTTTTTCAAAATTAATAACATTTAGTGCACTGTCATTTTTATATTTTCTTGCACAGGAATATACAGTACATTACAATATATTTCTGTGCACAGGTAAATCTCTATTGGGTGCTTGAATAGGAATACTGTTCCTGCAGATATACTGTATACTGGTAATGCCAAATATAACCATTAGCATTCATATATCATCTTTGAACTTCATAATGAGAGTTTTTCTGACTTAATTATTGAAACATTTATGGAGGATTTCATGCTACATTTACAACAAAGGAAGCTAATACTGGCAAATCCTACACACCACATAAAAAAGTCATGTTCCAGATTAAGCAGTGATAGGGCGCTGAGGTATTCAGGCCTGTCTACTGTAGTGTACTGTCGCTTTGATAAAAGCTTATGAGAGATGTAAATGAATATCATAATATGAAAGGACATGACTCTTTTCACTTCTTTGAGTTTCCTATATAATCTTCCCATGGCACTAAATTAAACCAAATGTGCATAGAGAACAAAGTTGCAGCTTGAAGACCACATGTGGCTCAGAGTTAAGAGAGTGAGGGGAGGAGGAGGGCTGTCTTCTTTTGTCCCCTGTCTATTGCACATACTCAGCCACAGCTTTCCAGCAGTTTTACCTGTTGTTGCTTACTATTACCAGCGTATGTTTGTACTTTACTTTTTGGATGGTTCCTTTTTGCGCTTTGCTTTGTTGGCTGTCTGTGTATGACCATCACCCTTTTGACCATGCTGCCTACCTGAGTGTCTACATTGCTTGCTTCTCCTGCAAATAAATGTGAACTGTTTGAACTCACATGATGCTTCTGTTGTTAAGCCTTGGTCTAACCCCGAGCCTCGATAATGAGCTAAAACAAAACAATCCACATAAGTAATGTAATTAATTATGCAGTTTGTCCACTTAAAAGTATAGTATGACATTTTGTAGAAGAATTTTATTTGCTTTCTTGCTGAGAGTTACTGGGACTGCACTTTTCGTCTCACACATATACACACAGACAAGGAGAGCAGAGATGCACTCTACAGTGCAAAAATTGGCCAGTAACAGAGACTGTATGAGCAGTTTATCAAACAGCTGTTGAAGAAGCAGAACACAAACTTACATAAATGTGATTCTTCACTGCTTTGCCCATGGTCCACTCACTACCCTGTTTTACCCCTCAACCAACAAGTGAATGTCTGTCATGTCTATTGTTTTTCTTTAGTAGTTGCTCAAGTGGGATGTGTTGGTTTTTCCTTATGATACTGTAAAGTCTAGGCTTAACTATGCAAAGTGCCCTGAGATGATTGTTGTTGTGAAATGGCAATACACAAATAAAACTGAATTACTTTCAAAATAATAAAAAATATCAGCATCAGTGCACATGCCAGCAGTAGGTTGTCATAATCAAACTATCATATAGTATGAGGGACTACCTTCATGAGAATATTGCTTGTATGGCATTATGGGGAAACTGAGTTGAACTTGGTGGAGGTCTGCACTCTCTGAGTGCTGTCTAGTCACTGCTGGCTTGTTTTTCATTTTCCAAGTTGATGCAAAAAAAAAAAAAAAAAACTTTACTGGCCTGTACTATACCTTTTAATGTTTTCACCACACACATGGAAGATTTTGTCATTGAAACTATAACCAAGCAGTATAGCCTACTGTTTGTATTAATGATCTTTGAAACCTCTGCCGGACCATATACTGGATACTGAAATTTTATGTGGCTCAAGTTGTTCTATGCTAATGTGGCCCCAAAGATGTAATCTGATGATTTGAGCCTAATGCTGCAAGTGACTATCTGCCCATATTGTGCTTTCACTCATTAATACAGTGCCATCATTGACACAACTGGGCCATTTTTGGCATAGATACCTAGTGCCAGTGCTGAAACCTTGCCAGCAGCCTAAAACCATATCTTGGCCAAATCAGTCTGCTATGTAGGTATGGTGACGGAATTGTGGGATGGTGGCTTAAAAATTATACTCAAGTTCTCTGTTAATCCCTTACACTGGAATTTAGCAAGCTATAAATAATCATGATCAAAACACTATCAAAGTTAAAGGATAAGAACGGTCATTTTCTACATTAGTTTCAGCAGTCTCCATACAAAGAATAAAATCAACAGTGATTTGCCTCTACTCACAGTTAATGTCCATCAGTCTGTCAGTCCTGGATCAGCTTCTTCGTCTGTGCTACAGATGTCAGTTGTTGTTCAAAAATGATTTAAAAACATCAGCAAAACACACCACTCTACTGGGTGACATGTTTCTTCATTAGCAAACACCAGACCTGAGTGTGAGTACCGAACAGAGTGAAAACAAAGCTGACAGCTTGCTTAAAATCTCATACATGAGCTGAGTCTCACTGGTACTAACTTTGTCGGGTCTGGGGTTTCGTTATGAAAAACATTTAAATGTGGTTATGCAGAGTGAATTGATAGTTATAATTTGCCAGTCAAAAGACAAAGTCCCAACAATGTGTCTCATGAGATTATTTCAAAATTTAGCAAAACACACAGAAGTGGGGTTTCTCTGTCTTTTCCCCCTAGACTGCAGGCTAACAGATGTCTCCTATGAGGCCCTGTTATATTGGACTAAAGCAAGTTATAATCTTTGACTCTTTAATCCAAAGCAGGCGGTCAAATGGACATTCAAGGACTTAACCTCTTTTTGTGACACACAGCCAACAAGTTCTCATGGCATGTAATGGTGTGTCACGGTGTGCCACGGCCTGTCTATGGTGAATAGATCAGCCACACAAGACTTGTCCCAACAATAAACATTTCAAAGAACAACATATGTCTGTATTGTCATGAAAGGAGCTACAGTTGATGTCAGTACCAATAATATTGATTTGATTTGATTTGATTTATTTATTCTTTCAAACATGTAACAACAGTCAGTATGTAATCACACATAATTCCAGACATGTCCACAAAAATATTTTCAATTTGCTTATACCTAGTACATGCTTGAACGGAGTAGGAAGAAGTTAGACTTATCTAGTCCTACCCC